GGAACAACCGTGAGTTTTCTTTTCCTGACACAGCTGTAGAGGCTTTCAATCGTGCGAGGAAGGCTCTTGCGGATACAACTGTCCTTGTCCACCCTATACCTGATGCCCCACTTTCCATTGTGGCCGACGCCTCTAATTTCGCAATAGGTGCTGCCCTTCAGCAACAGACGCCCACTGGCACCCAGCCCTTGGCTTTCTACTCTGCCAAATTAACACCCCCACAAACTCGCTATAGCACTTTTGGTAGAGAACTTCTTGCAATTTATTTAGCCATTAAGCATTTTCGTAATTGTATTGAGGGCCGAGATTTTTGTATTTATACTGACCACAAGCCTCTTACTTATGCCCTTTCTACTTCTTCTGACAAGTATTCACCCCGCGAGGCCCGCCATCTCGATTTTATTTCTCAGTAAACCACCGACATTCGATTTCTTAAAGGCCTTTATAATCAAGTTGCTGACTGTCTTTCTCGGCCTGGCATTAATACCATCACCCGCCCTTCCATCGATTTGGAGCGCATGGCAGAACTGCAAACTCAGCCGACTTTCAGTGAGAGCCTTCAACACACTAGTCTTCAACTCGAAGCCATTCCAATTTCCACCACCCCCGGTACAATCTTGTGTGACGTATCGCGCGGTGCCTCCCGACCCGTAGTGCCAAGCGAGATGAGACGAGATGTTTTTGCCGCGTTGCACAATCTAGCTCACCCTGGCATCCGCACTAACCAGCGCCTCGTCAGCCAGCGGTTCGTTTGGCCAAGCATGAACACTGACATCCGCCAGTGGACCCGCTCATGTTTGGCCTGTCAGAAGGCCAAAGTCGGACGGCACAACAAAGCCCCCATTGGCACTTTTCTCGCACCCGACGCACGTTTTTCACATGTTCATATCGATCTGGTAGGTCCCTTTCCAACATCTCGTGGTTGCAACTACTTACTAACTGCGATTGACCGATTTACTCGTTGGCCCATTGCAACTCCCATACCTAACATAACTGCAGATTCCGCTGCTCATGTTTTTTTGGAACACTGGATCTCTCATTATGGCGTCCCCTCAACTATTACCACCGATCGAGGCCAACAATTCGAGTCTAGACTTTTTAACAGCCTTACCAACCTCCTCGGATGTTCTCGCATACGCACGACAGCATACCACCCCTCATCCAACGGTTTAGTCGAGCGTTTCCACCGGCAACTCAAAGCCTCGCTCCGAGCTCATGACAACCCTTCCCATTGGAGCGAGCATCTGCCTTTGGTCATGCTCGGCATCCGTACCGCACTTAAGCCCGACTTGGAGTGTTCCGCTGCCGAACTTGTCTACGGTACCACCCTACGGATTCCCGGGGATTTTTTCGGGCACTCTCAAAGCTCAGGCGACTTGGATCCCAGCGATTATGTGCAAAGATTGCGCCAAGCCATGACTCATCTTCGAGCCACTCCTCCACGTCCTTCAACAAGTAAGTCGTACGTCGACCCGAACTTACTAACATGTTCTTTTGTATTTGTCCGCGTAGATAGCGTTCGTCGGCCAATACAACAGCCCTATGACGGCCCATTTAGAGTACTATCGCGCAAGGACAAGCACTTTACAATTGACCGTGGAGGCCGCACCGACGTGGTCTCAATCGATCGCTTGAAGGCGGCTTATATCGAGCCTCTTCCAACTTCTCCAACCGAACAACCCCCACTTGGCACATTGCCACTTGCTATTTCCCAGACTCCATTTACGCCCAATAACCCCGCATCTTCCCTTATCCCACAGACTGCTCCCCTTACGCGCAGCGGTCGTCCTGTCCGTTTTCCCGACCGTTACCAACTTGTACAATATGCATAACACTCCCATATTTTCCTTCTATTAACAATATTTTTTTTGAACTCCGTTCTCCTAGGAGGGGGAGTATTGTAGTGACGTTTAAATATGTTTTGTTTTAATCAGTTACAATACGCTTTGACACAACTTTGAATAAGACAAAGAACACGCACGTGCACTTTTACCTGCTGACGACTTTGTTCTTATTTATTAGTTTGTAACTGTTGGGATACCGCTATTTTCGTTTCCTGGATAGCCTACTCGCTGTGCCCAACTAGTGGATTAATCTCTTATAACCTCTTGCTCCAATGGAAACAATGCGTCCCCCACCCCCTAACTTGTTTCCTCCACGGCCGTTTTACCAATTCATTCCTCATGATAATGTCCATACTGAATCAGTTAATTCATCCGATCCTCAGTTTCGTCCCGGCGGCAATATGTTGCAGTATCTGCCCCGCGGATTTCCAGCTGAAAATAAGTTAGCTAACAATAGTTACCAGTTTACCTGCCCGTCATTCCCTCCCCCAAGTCCTACCCCTTTTTATCCACGTCAGAATTTTTTGATGCCACAAAATGTTTTGCAGAACCGGATGGTTGCATCCGGACCGTTTGCTCCGTGGGCGACCCAGAACTGGACGATGTAGCCCATCTCCCTCAAAAACTAACAGCCTTTCCCTTCAAACCTTTTGTTTTAAATGCCAGATTCTTGCTTAATAAGATGCCTTTGCTTCAGACTCAGGTGTTCGTCCATTGTCCTGATATTGTTTTAGTAACTGAGACGTGGGCATCAGCCTCAGTAGCTGACTCCGAACTCTCTCTTCTAGGCTACAATTGCATTCGAAATGATCGCCAAGATTGCCGTGGTGGGGGCAGCTGCGTCTACGTTAAGCAAACACTTACATGTTTGCCGTTGGACCTCCCGCACTTTTCCGCAGTAGAAGGCAGCTGTTGGCTCCAGGTTGCACTAAAAAATAAGTTCTCCTTACTCATTGGCTGCGTCTATCGCCCTCCCAACTCCAATGAAAATTTTGATCGTTTACTCTCACAGGCATTTCATGCTGCGGCCGACTTAAGTTTTAAGTATCAACTGGTTGCGGGTGACTTTAATCTCCCTGAAGTCCGCTGGTCTCCGCCTTCAGGCCCCAGAAGGTTCGATGACTTTCTTGAGGCTGTAGATGTTGGGAAGTGGAATCAGGTTGTCGATTTTCCCACCCGAGGCTCAAGTATACTTGACCTAATTTTCTGTAGAGGCTGCTTGCCATCGTCAGTGTCACCCCTAGGCCCACTCGGGGGCTCAGACCATGACATAGTTGTTTCAACGTTGGAATTCGAGGCTGACGAAATGTCGTCCCAAAAGTATAACTTCTTCCGCGATTTCCGATCAACTCGCTCAAC